TGGATGAGCCAGTTGAGATCTCTTCTGACTCCTCTGACTCACCTGAGGGGGGTGACGCCGTCGCTGACGACACGGCGACCACTCGCCGCACTCCTCGCTAGGAGACCCCCCCGGGTTTCCCGCCACGGCCGTCTTCGCCGCCTCCGCAGCCTGCTGCTGTGGACTCTGGAGCTGAGACTACTGGAGCTGGGCCGCTGGATGGTGATTCTGGGGGTGGTGACTCTCCTCGTCTGGCTACCCCCCCCGGGTTCCCACCTCTGTCGTCTTCGCCGCCTCTGCAGCCTGCTGCTGTGGACACTGGAGCAGAGACTGAGGGTACTGAGCTTGGGGGTGCTGGGACTGAGGGTACTGAGCCTGAGGGTGCTGGGACTGAGGGTGCTGAGACCGAGGGTCCTGACTCTGGGGGTGCTGCGAGTTCGGGTGCTGACTCTGGGGGTGTTGCGAGTCCTTGTGGTGTTGGTGTCGTCGGGGCTCCTGCCGGAGGACCTGGAGCTACTGGTGCTGGAGGTACTGGAGGTGCTGCTGGTGCTGGAGGTACTGGAGGTGCCGGAGCTGCTGGGGCTGGAGGTGCTGGAGCTGCTGGGGCTGGAGGTGCTGGAGGTACTGGAGGTGCTGGAGCTGCTGGGGCTGGAGGTGCTCGAGGTGCTGGAGGTCCTGGTGGAGCTACTGGTGCTCTTCGCCACCTTCTCAGTCTTCAGCCAGGTGCGACTGGCTTCCCTGTGGCAGGTACTACTCCTCCGTTATTGTGTCCACCGGCGGACCAGTCACAGCCGCCGCTGCTACCGCACTCCCCACTGCCTGCTCCTGCTCCTTACACTGCGGTGTCACAGTCCCTGACTGAGCGTCGAGAGCCTGAGACTCGTGCTTCCACCCCTGAGCGTCGAGAGCCTGAGTCTAGCTTTGACCTTGAGCCTGAGCCTAGAGCTGCTGTCCGTGCTCGTGTTCCTCGTGTTCGTCGTCCGCGTGCTCCGGCTGTCCCTGGCACTCACGATATGACACTCCGTCCTTCCTCTGTTCCTCAGCGTGTTGTTCTACCGTATCCTCCTGCGTCCTCTCTGCCTGACGTTGCTGACCCTCCGTCCGACCTTGCTCGTGCGTCCAGTCCGACTGTTACTCGCCTTCTTGCTACGATTGTGACGGACCCTACGTTCTCGTCTCCTGCTGCGTCTGCCCTAGTAGCTGAGCTCGTTGACTTTGCTGCTGTGTACCGCCTAGACTACCTTGCGAGTCTTGTTTGTGACCCTGTCCCTGCCTGTCCTCCGTCCGTCGGGGGTGAGACTGCTCTTGGCTGTACTGCCCTTGGCTGTGACGTTCTTGAGGACAGACAGGAGGAGCTGGAGTGCCTTGCTGCCGCTTCACCCCATCACGCGACCATGCTGCTTGCCCCTGAGGGAGACCCGGATGCACTTGACATCCCCACCCCGCGCTCCTACAGGGAGGCGATTTCGGGTCGACAGGGAGGCAATTTTAGTGGCAGACAGCCATGGACGCAGAGATTGCTTCCTAGAAGTCCACAGGCACCTACGTCGACGAGGTTCCCCCACCTGGGGCGAACATCGTCAGTGGCATGTGGATTTTCAGGGTGAAGCGGCCGTCGGGTTCTCCGCCTGCCTTCAAGGCACGCTAAGTTGCTCGAGGCTTCAGTCAGCGTGAGGGGGTCGACTTCTTTCAGACCTTCTCCCCCACCCTGAAGATGACCACTCTTCGGGTGTTGCTACACGTTGCAGCTCAGCGTGACTACGAGCTGCACTCCCTCGACTTCTCGACAGCTTTCTTGCAGGGTAGCCTTCACGAGGCCATCTGGTTGCGCCGTCCACAGGGCTTCACTGGGTCGTTTCCTGAGGGTACCCAGTGGAGCCTACGGCGACCAGTGTACGGCCTGCGTCAGGCGCCCCGTGAGTGGCATGACACACTGAGGACGACACTTGCGGCTCTTGGTTTTGCTCCTTCGACTGCTGACCCGTCGCTGTTTCTACGCACCGACACTACTCTGCCGCCGTTCTACATCCTCGTGTACGTCGACGACTTGGTTTTTGCTACTGCTGACACTGAGGCACTGGCCCTAGTGAAGGCGGAGCTGCAGGAGAGACACACCTGCACTAACCTGGGTGAGCTGCGGAGCTATCTTGGCTTGCAGATCACCCGGGACAGAGCACGGCGCACCATCACCCTGACTCAGTCACACATGGTGCACCAGGTCCTTCAGCGCTTCCGCTTCACGTGGTTCTCGCCACAGCCCACTCCTCTGTCTACCGGCCACTCGCTCTCACTCACAGTCCGTAGAGCCGAGTGGTCCGTACCCAGAGCTTGTGGGTTGCCTCATGTACCTGATGACGTGCACACGACCTGACCTCGCGTACCCTCTCAGCCTCCTGGCTCGCTACGTGGCACCTGGTCGACCCCGAAAGGTGCACTTTGATGCTGCGAAGAGGGTACTGCGTTACTTGTGCAGCACATCGGGCATGGGGCTCGTGCTTGGAGGACGGGGTTCGGTGGTCCTCACAGGACACTCTGACACTTCTTGGACCGACGACCAGACAACTCAGCGTTCGTCACAGGGTTACACCTTCAGTCTTGGCTCCGGTTCTGTCTCGTGGAGGTCCACTCGTTCTTCTTCTGTCCTTGGTTCCAGCTGTGAGGCCGAGATCTACGCTGGGGCCATGGCTGCACAGGAGCTACGCTGGCTGACCTACCTGCTGACCGACTTGGGGGAGCGGCCTCGTTCTCCTCCAGTTTTGTACGTCAACAACAAGGCAATGCTTGCCTTGTGTCGCGAGTAGAGACTGGAGCACCGAACGAAGCACATTGCTCTTCGCTACTTTCTTGCGCGTGAGCTGCAGCAGCGTGGTCAGCTGCGCCTTGCTTACGTGGCCTCTCGGGCCAACACTGCTGATGTCTTCACCAAGGCCCTTGGGTCTGGTGATCATCACCGCTTCTGCACTGCTCTTGGGCTTGTGCCCACTCTGCCTCACCTGCTGGTTGCTTGACTTGCCCTTGTTGTACACTGCTATATATCTTTATACCTGCATGTTTACGCTTGCTAGGTTGTGATCAGTGTACTGCCTTGCTATTATAAATTTGCATGTGAACTGGCCTTGTGGCTGCCTGCTTGTGCTCAGATTGTGTGGTGTCCTTGAGATCCACCCTGGGCTTTGCCTTGCTTGTTCTCTTGCTTGACTGGTCTTGTGACCACTGTTAGGTTTGGCTATCCCCTACTTCACCTATGGGGGTGTGTTAAAACATATTTCTGTTCATTTCACTCTAGGTTCTCTAGGGGTCATTCCTTAGAGGGTACAACCCATTTCTCTCGATAGTCTTGTACCCCTCCCCCTTACCTAATCGACACTCCTTCCTAGTATTCTAACAAATCCTTCGTGTTGCGGCTGCCCGATGCTTCTACCGCATTTACCTGGGTAATAGACCCGGGGGTCTAACCCTACCTTGGGAAAAAAAGGAGGTGGGGCTATTAACTGGGTGTAAATTTAATAGACACGGGGCCTAATCCTATACATTTTTTTTTCTAAATTATGTCGAATACCCTAGTGTTATAGCATCAAAGGCCACTAATTTTACCACGCGTCAGCGAAATTCTGACCACGCGCTTGACGCGAGTCTGGCGCATGGTCAATTTGGTCAAGACAACCCAACTTTGCGCTACATTGACTTGTGTAAAAACACTGAAACCACAGAGTTCAAAAAAAGTTAAGGCTGAAACTTCAAGGTTACTTCAGAAAAACACCCTGAAAATCACCCAAATGAGGGTAAAAATCCTGACTTCTGAGGGCGAACATAGTCTGCCGAAGTTTCAGCCTCAGCATCGATGGCCTTCGTGGCCCCAACTTTCCGCCCGTTAGGCAGCAAAACCAGTCGAACCCTAGGCCGCCTAGGCAGGTTTCCTCTACTCGACTCAGTTTCGTTTCCAGGTAAGTTGCTGCTTTTCTTCTTCCTTTTTCTAACACTTTGCGTTTTCTCTCCCCTACACCCCACTTCGACCCCACTCAATGAGGACTCCGACCACCTCTCAACCCCCTTGTCACCTCTCTCAACCGCTGAAGTTTTCCCTGCTCAACGTTCCACGGTTGGACATCCTCTCGTCTTCAGCCCCCCAGGACAACATTCCCGCAAGGTAAGTTTTTCCGGTACTGCATAAGCTCCATACCCTCGCCGTAAATCCCTGCACAAACCCTCGTGTTATCCTGCCAATGCACTCCTGCCACGCCACCTGATCCACCATTGAAACTCCCACACTTCCCCTTTCGCTCCCCCTTCTTCCAGGAGGACCCTCGTTTGTGCAAGGTCGAAGCCCACGCCAACTGATCGCCCTCCCCCGACCAACCTTCCAACAATCACGAAGGATAGCTTTGTCAGCCCACATTACAGGCTGCTGGCTAATCTTACCCCCGCTTTTCCTCCCTCTTATCAGGCGGGATCCACTCGCTCCCACGTAACGCCATCTCCGGCTCCTCGACTCCTCCTCCTCTCCCTACCGTGCCTCGGCCCTCATGGCGCCTTTGACCTCAACTCTGTTCCCGCATTTTGCCAGCTTGGTGCTGCCATCCCACGTTTCCCTCCTTGGCCACCTCCGGCCGTGCCACTAATACGGCTTGGAAGCTCGGCGCGCCGCCTAGGCCACCAGTTTCACTTCTCGCTCGCATGCGTCTGGACCCTCGTAAGGTCCCGGGTTTCGAGAAGCCGACTAGGCTCCCAGCCCCGTTTCATGGCCTTAATCCCCTCGCCACGGCACCGTAATTACCGTAACCTCTCTGTCCTCCCCGCTCTCCCCGTCCACCCCCTTCCCGCCGGCTCTCCGCACACCCCCCGCCCACGTTTTTTCCTGGGATCCTTGCGCTCACGGTCCCTTGCTTGTCAGGAGCTCATGCTGCCTGTTTCGCCTCTTGCCCCTTCTTCCCCTCTCGGGGCCTCGCTCTCTCGCTCTACATATAATGGACCTTCACTTCACAATCTACAACCCCCCACGCTTCTCCTACTCACCTTCCACCATGGCTGCGCAGGTCTACAACTCCGACCACACCATGTCCGCTACCGAAGAGGAGGCCCTCGGTGCCTCCGGGGATGACCTTGATGTGGACGATCTGCCCGAAGGCATGTTCCACCACCTCGCAAATCCCGCTGACCTCCCTGCTGCGAAGAAGCCGTGTATGGTTCTTGACGCCAGTCCCGCCCCCAATCCTTCCCCCTCCACCTCCTCCGGTTCGGCCCCGGTACACTCTCCCGTGCCCCTCGCTGTCGCCGCTCTCTTTGCGCCCTCGTTTGGCCTGGCACCGTCGCTGGTTGCAACTGCAGCATCTCTCAATAGCCCGGCAACCTGCGCAACCGCATACGCGTCCGTCGCCTCAAGCTCCAACCTGGCTCCCGCGCTGCCCGCCTCGCTCTTTGCCTCGCCCACTCCAGGCGACGCCCCCCGTAATCTACGTCGCACGCGCACGGATGCTGCTGCCCCGTTGCTTTTCCCCCTGCGCCGCCGCGTGGTAGTCAATGTTCTCCTCCCGGAAGCCGGGCTGGAGTCTCACCGCTCTGAAATTTTCGCTGGCATCAATGCGCGGCTGTGTGGCTTTATGTTATCATCTGGCATTATCCCTTCCTTCGAGCAGACCGTTGGGAACCCCTACCGTGTGGCCCGCCGGGTGTATGGACGCATTCTCATCTCATGGCCGTTGTAGGACGATGCGGCGGCCTTCCGCAAGCTCTTCCCCCTCACCCTCAAAGTCTCCAACTCCCGCCCCTTTCTGCTTAAGGTTTTCGAGGACAGATTTGAGGCCTTCACCGCTGCCAAGGCCGCCGGTGCACCTACCTTGTCTATTCGCAACATCCCTCTGGATTCGATCCTGATGACATCCGCACTTATCTTCTCATCTCCACCGAGACAGATGGCTCGCGCTGGCTGGCGGATTTGACGGACTTCCACCGCGCTTCGGATCCTTACGAGGACACATATTTCACTCACCTCGCAGGGCTTCCCATCGCCACCACCGACGACCCCAACTTCGAGCGCATCCCATCCAAAATCCCGCTGGAGGATAAAAAACCTCCCATGCTGCTCAACTTTTCCTGTCATGGGTGCTCACTGTGTGCCAACAACCACCGCGCGTCTGATCACGAAGCTTTCGCAGCCCGCCGCCGGCAGCGCCTCATGAACCGGAACGTGATCTCAGTCGCGCAGCTGCAGAAGGCAAATGGTACGCTCCTCAATAATCTCTCCCAGCTATGCTACCTCACCTTCTCCTTGCCTTACTGCTGTGGTCTCCTCGTGCTCCCCTTTCTGCTCTCCATTTCGACATCTCACCCCCCCCTTGTTACACTACCTCCCCACTCTTCAGAGCTACAGTTCTCACCCACCCTGCTCTGTCCCATTGTTGCCTCATCCCCCTCTGCCCTCCTAGCTATGCTACCTCACCTTCTCCTTGCCTTACCGCTCTGGTCCCCTTGTGCTCCACTTTCTGCTCTCCATTTCGGCATCTCCCCCCCCCCTATTACACTACCTCCCCACTCTTCCAGAGCTACAGTTCTCACCCACCCTGCTCTGTCCCATTGTAGCCTCATCCCCCTCTGCCCTCCCAGCTGCTGGGCCGTCACGATCACTTACGCCCACCACCCCCCTTCACTCTATCCCTGCCTCCCCACCGCCCCGCAGTCAACGCGCTCCCCTGGAACTCCCCCCCCGCAACCCCACTCTTAACCCCCCTATGCCCAGTGTCTCATCCCCCCCTGCCCCCCCAGCGGTCGGACCCCTGCACTGCCACGAAATTACCCCACCCCCTCACCCCCCCCCCCGCCCTTGCCTCTCTCTACAGCCTACTCTCCCCCACAGCCCCTCCCCCCCCCACCCCCCCCCCCCCCCCCCCCCCGAACCTCATCCACTCCAGCCCCACCCCTTGGCGCTCACCCCCCCTCCTCTCGCCTGAGCTTTGGCCCACCTCTCCCCACTGTACTCACCTCACCCTTCTTCTCTCTCCCCACTCTCCCCCCTCCCTGCCAACAGGCCCCCCCCACGGGAACCCTCCTCTGCCTGCTCCCGATCCCCTCGACTGCACTCTCCTCACCCCCCTTCCCTACAGTCCTCAGCTATCCCCGCCCCCCTTGTGGCTGGGCCTTTATCCAACCTCGCTCCCCTTCTGGCTGCTCCCCCCTTTCTGAATGCTCTCCCCCACGCAGACAACATCCTGGGAAACCACGCTGCGTCGACCACCTTCCGCAACGATCCAGGCCTTATCCATGTGCGCTCTGCGATTTCACATGTGGCGCTGCCCTCGACAGTGCCATGGTCCACATTCAGTCCGAGCTGCACACCTCTCGCGTGAAGGCTACGGCCCACCGCCCGGCATCCAAGGAGGCTTTTGGCCCCTGGCGCGCTCTCACTTTGCAGCAGAAGCCTACGGTGGCTGCCTTCCTCCGTGGCTGAATCCAGTGCCCTTGCATGAACGCCTTGGTAGAGGCATCCTTGCATATTTCTTGGGTGCACCCCTTCTTTGGCCCCCATTTAGGATTTGCATGCATTTGTATCCGTCATTATTATAATGTCGTCGCTCGTACCAAGGCCGACCTTTGCCACTCTGCTCAAACGTAAACAATCAGCAGTACATTTTACGCACAAATCCTTGTTCCAAATATTACACCAATATACCCACACACACACCTCCTGCTTTAGCCTGCCCACAGTCCTTTGCAACAATCAAGGCAAGCCCCACCCCAAGCCCTCGGTATACCTTTTTCTGCCTCCATTACACCCTGGTCTGTGGTGCTCCAGTCCCCTCCTCTTACTCTGCGTTCCCGGCAGCCTTCCTTGCTACATCAACTTCCTAACACGATCTCAACCATTGGAGAGCCATCCCCCCCCCCCCCTGCCTCCCCCCCCAGTAGGCTTCACTGCCCCTTGCTTGCTTGCCAGGCGGCACTGTGTCTCAAGCCTCCTCATGCAACCTTGTTTTAAATTCTCATCTTGTGAATTTTCAATAAATCTTGACCTACAACTGACTATCCACTCCAACACAAGTCAAATCTGTAATTGGAAACATTGTCATAATATCAGTCACTCCTCCCTATCTCAGAATACGCGTATCACCGGCTTCTCCCCTGTCCCAAACACTCTACGTTACATCTTCCTTCCCAGGCCGTGGACACGCCGAGCATCTCCTACTGGCCCCACCTCCTCCCCTTACACTCACCAGCTAAAACGTTTGCTCAGGCCGTGGATACGCACGATCGCCCGTGCGATGGCCTTAACGTCGTTGCCATGTTAAAACCGAAAGCGAAAATAGTGAACCCCGTCCCAGCTTGAAAGGCCAGCGACGAAGTCAGAAATATTTTCGGCCGAACAACACTGTTCAAACAAAACGAGTAGGCAGCGTGAACGGATGCGATTGGCTCTTGCCAATCTGGATCCTCCTTGTTCCCGCCAAAACAATTTACCATCCTGGTGTCAACCGTCGCATCTCTACGTGCGCTACCTGCACGACTGTTGCCCTGCGATGGTTTCCATCGCTGGGCCCAAAGTTGGTTTCAAGTTGGAACTGGGTTCCATCACTAGCTGCTCTCCACTCTCGAAGTCGCTATTTTTTTACATCTCATTTTAGGCTGAGAACCTAGGCGTTTGTGGCCAAGGTACATAACTTCCGACCCAGTTGGAATGCGTAATGTTGTTAGGTATCTTAGGTTCATACTCATGTTTCCCCTCTCTGGCGATCGTCACCCTCAGCTTCAGCGTAGGCCCCTCGCGCTCTCGGTAAGTTGCTCTTCCTCTTTCATTCTCCCCTCGAACACCTCGTCGCCCTTGCGCTCGCTTCAAATAGCCCTCCCACCGCCCGTCCTCCCTCTCTTCACATAACCCACCTCGTTGCCGTGGCGCTCTCGCCAAGTCACCCTCCCGTCGCTATTCCTCTCGCCCCTGCCATCACCCACTTCGTCACCTTCACGCTCGCCTCGAATAGCCCTCCCGTCGACCTTCGTCTCTCCCCATCACGTGTGCCCTCCTTGCGTTCTCCCCTTGCAACCCACCGCCCTCGCTACTCCCTTCGCTGCCCGTCGCTCTCGCTAATCCCTCTCCTCACCATCTCGTCACTCACACCGTCTCCCCGCCGATCAACCATTTCAACACCCGCGAGCTCACCTTGAATCGCACTATCGTCGCCTACCACCCCACATCATCGCCCTCACGCTCACACCGGACAGCTCTCTCGTCGCCCACCCCGTTTCCCCTCCCATCACCCACTTCGTCATCTTCGCGCTCGTCCTGAAACGCCCTCCTTTCTCCCCTCCCGTCACCCACCGTTCAGAACACCCCTCTTATCACCCACACACCCTTCCCTCACATCGTCCTCTCCGTCACCATCCCGTCACCCATTGTGCCTCTCCTCGCATCACCAACCTCGTCGCGTCGATCCCGTACTCTCCCCACTCGTCCTGTCACCATCGGGACCCTCCCTCGCATCCCTTCTGCCTCGCTATCTCCCATCGCATCTCTTCGCCGTCGCTATTTCCCCTCCCTCCCCATCGCCCTCGCACTCTGTCCTCTCGTCGCCGTCTCGTTCTCCCTCTGCTATCGCGTCATCGTGTCCCGTTTCGTATTCTGTTATTTATTTTTGTTCGTGATATATTTTCATCCCTTCCCGTCACCCTCCCTCTCGTCCCCCACCCAATTTCTTCTCCCATCGCCCACCATATCGCCTTTGTTCTAGCTATAAAACGGCCCACCTTCCTCCCTCTCCTCCAATCACCCATATCGTCGCCCGTGCGCGTAGCCCTCACGTCACCCTTGTCAGAATCCCAACCACTAGACCATTGGGATAAAAGGGCTTGTTTCAGTAGCGGGTCAGTGCGCCCATAACCCCCGAGGCTAACATGCCTGTAACCCCCAAGGATCAATCGGGGATCTCACAGTGCAGCTCTACTGACACCCCCCCACACTGGGAGGCCCAGGACTGAGCACAGCGGCAACGGCCTGCATGTGCATACACCGGGATTCGAACCCGAGACCACTCTGATACCATGTCAGAATCCCAACCACTAGACCATTGGGATAAAAGGGCTTGTTTCAGTAGCGGGTCAGTGCGCCCATAACCCCCCAGGCTAACATGCCTGTAACCCCCCAAGGATCAATCGGGGATCTCACAGTGCAGCTCTACTGACAACCCTCCCCAATGCCCCACCCAATCCCGCGATTTTTGCTCACTTATCACTCCCCTCGCGCCCTCGTTTCCGTCGCCCTGTCTCTTTCTTCTATTGTCACCTTGCTAAATCTCTGTTTTTTCCCTCCTTTTGTTTCTCCTATGCTGTTTGTGCCGCCATAACAGGTTTTTGTCTAAGGCGTTTGCTGTGCGTGAAATGCACATCTGTGAAATTGGCAGACCATGTGAAAGGGAATTGCACGTCGCAAACTTGCGACATATTTGCATTGCACATGCTTGCGATGTTTTTTGTTGGATAAATTCAGTGATGACTCGATCAGTACATAACGCGTCAGAAAAAAAAAAAAAAAAACAGAACATCCAACTTTCAAGTGGACCCAACTAGAATTGGGGGGTCACTATTTTGCCTACGGGCTTTAACACACATCCGCATCCTATGCATCAATGTGAACGGAATCAACGAGACTCGCAAAATGGATGAGCTTTAATCCTGGCTCTCGCGCCTCCCTGCCCCCACTAACCTGGTCATCCTCATCGACACCCGTCTCATCCTCAGAATCCCCAATCTCGACTTTATATTCCGACCTCACGCCTCTGCTCATGCCCTGGCGCTGCTCTCAACAGACAGCGCTAGCGGGAGGCCCACCCTCATCAGTGGCATCTCCATCCTCTCTTTCAACAGGGCCATCTCCCTTTCCTCCCCGCTTCCCTCTGCAGATAGCAGACTTCTCTCTGTACATCTCAACTATCTCCGTGAGCAAATCCGCCTCATAGCCATATATGCGCCCACACAATTCTATGAGCGTCGAATATGGTGGACTACCACGCTTGTCCCGGCGCTGGAAACTCCCACCGCTGCCTCCGCGTCCATGCTCGCCGAAGACTTCAACTCGGTTATCCTTCCCATCGACAGAAACCGCCCCCCTAAAGATCACGAATGTCGAGAAGGAGCTTCTATCGCCAAACTCATGGGTACTCACGCGCTGGTCGACACATTCCGTGCACTCCACCCCACGCCTACCGACGCTTTCTCCTTCTTTGGCAGGCAACGCCACAATACCGTGAAGACTTCTTGATAGTTGTTGACGACTTCTCGCGCTACACCACGGTCTTCCCCTTGCGCACCAAGGGTGAAGTCCCTGATGTTTTGATCCCTTGGATCCGCGCTGCCCGTCTCCAGCTTAGCGAGAGGTTCCACTCGGACTTTCCTGTCCTGCGTCTGCACTCTGACAGAGGTGGGGAGTTTTCCTCCGACCTCTTGAGGGCCTACTGCCAGGGGCAGGGCATTGAGCAGTCGTTCACGCTTCCGGCCTCTCCACAGCAGAATGGGGTTGCTGAGCGCCGCATTGGCTTGGTCATGGAGGTCGCTCGTACCTCCTTGATCCATGCGGCTGCTCCCCACTTTCTGTGGCCGTTTGCGGTCCGATACGCTGCGCATCAGCTCAACCTCTGGCCCCGTGTCTCCGTTCCGGAGACTTCACCGACACTGCGTTGGACGGGAGAGGTTGGCGATGCGTCGCGTTTTCGGGTCTGGGGATCTCGAGCTTTTGTCCGCGATACGTCCGCGGACAAGCTCTCCTCTCGCGCTGTTCCTTGTGTCTTCCTTGGCTTTGTCCCGGACGCGTCTGGTTGGCAGTTTTACCACGCCACCTCGCGCCGTGTCCTGCCCTCTCAGGACGTCACTTTCGACGAGTCGGTCCCCTACTACCGCCTCTTCCCCTACCGCACTGCCCCGCTCCCCCCCCCCCTCTCTTCCTCGCGCCAGGTGCTGCTGTGGTAGA